ATGACCACAAGAAATTGTTTATACAATAGTGATATTATGCTTTATATTTTATTAATGCCTTTATGTTATGTCAAACACAGTTGTTTTGTGTTATTATTATGAGAAATATAGTTATGACACAATATATGGAAATGTGATAGTGAAAAATGTATTTAACATTTAAGGGTTTACGATTATAAGAAATTGTTTATAGAATAGTCACATTACGCTTTATATTTTATTAATGTCTGTATGTGCAACTATGCAAGTATGTAATGCAAGATTAAATACTGCTGAGGTACTACTCAAATACTGAGATTGTAGGATGCAAAATAAAACACTGTTTATCGTAACGCCGTGCTAATGGTACTGAATTTATTATGAAATTCAATATGTGTACAATGTATTAAAGTAACGTCAAACACGAGCATGCGCTCCAATTACGCTAACATATAAAAATGTACGGGTTTACTCTTACAACAATGAGGTGCTCAAACTCAACACATGCCATTTCTACAGTTCGCTCATCAGAGAGGCTCACAAATCTTTACGTTCTTTACATGATAATAATTTACTAGCTAAAATTAAGGAACCACCTCTTAAAACCGTTTCTCTATTGAAAGAACTGACCACCTGGTGATAACTGGAGTTAAACATTAAATTATGAGCTTTTAACCAATGTTCAGTATTACATAAAATATGAATGTTGTTGCTATTTAAGAACAATTCAATTTCTTGCTCTTAGCCTATCATGCCTTGTATATTCTGATGCACCAGGTGTAAACAATTTTTATTATAATTTTGTGGAGTTACAATTGCAACTATTAAGGATTTGTAAGCTACATTCTAAATTATTTAAATTATTATAACTGCTAGAGATTACTTCTGTTATCTCATTTTATAATTTAAATTACTTGGAACGGATTCCAAATTGCTTGTCTAATCATAATGCTGCTCAATAGGAGCAGATGTCTGGGTAGTCAAGTCCTTGACTGAGTTAATATATAAATAATAAGATAGCACATTTGCTATCTGTCTTAAATTATATTTGGATAGGAATACCTAACTGTAGTCAAACATTTCTTAATTAAATTATTAATGTCTATTAAATTAATTCTATTGATATAATTGTTACAATTAAATATCAAATTTAAATTATTGTTACATGATAAATTATTCATTAATAAATTTAAATCATATCTTATTTGATTCTCCTGTGGCCAACTCTGTATGTAAGGCAATGTAAACAATACAATTTATTTATGTACATTTAAAGTATTAAAGTAATAAATATATTTTAATAATTGATTTTTGTTTACATTGCCTCTTCTCCCAACAAGAATTATTAATACGCTATTAGGACAAAACTCGTAAAACTCAAATGCTCCAGGCATACAATAATTACTAATCAATTGTCCTTTTAAATGGTTATTTAAATCATGCCCAAATTTTTACCTATGTCATCACAATACGTAATAACTATGTTTTTTAATATGTAAACTACTTTTTTTACTTTTTTTAAACTACTTTTACATTGACATTAGGTTTTGTCCCAAAAGACTTATCAAACTTTTTCAATAAAAAGTTAATATCGTCTTCAGTTTCGTCCTTGAGGTATGTAAATGTCGAATATATTTCGTAACTCGCCGATCCAATGAGGTTGACCAGTAAACTCGCCTGCACTGAACTTTCCTCTTTAGCCACTCCCGAGGCTTCAAGAAACACCTCGAATTGTTTCCACCACTTCCGCTATGAGTCTGCTCGCGCAACCGGACCGCCTTCGAGCACTAATTCTACGGGAGGTCGCGCGTGTTCCATCACTTACTTTTACAGAAATTACACAATTTACTTTAAAACTAAGTTCCCATATCAACAAAGTACTTTTATATCGACTGTCTAATTTATTTTCAACACCGCTGTCACCATGTAATAAAATAAACGCTAGCTGGTTCAACACTGCTTTTATTATTTATGTTTTGTAGGTACAGTCTCGATACACATTACATCACAGTTTTAATCTACCCACAATATACTACAGGTTCTAACCCTGGATTTATTGCTCAGTAATGTTTTGAAACTTTCTTTGAGTTTGCTCGGGAACAGCACTGGCAACGAGGAATTCATAAGACGAATTTTCTTCATAAGCTGAACGCATTCAACATCAATTCACGAATTACAAGCGTTTTAATATTCGCAGATATGTGTAATGAGTCCTTATCACAGCTAAGAAATCGAGCGAAATATGCATGATTTCGAAAATTTTGCTAAAATACATAACTTGCGCGCGAGTTCGGTACTTTTATTCCGTCCCCAAAAGTGCCCATCGTGCCTTAAGAAGTTTTCCCTTCAAAAATAATATTTCATAAGAAAGTATTTAAGTACCACACACAAGTCAACAAAAAATAACAACTTTTTTGTGTCTGTTGTTAAATGACTATTGTCTAATCTTTAACATTGAAAAATAACCAAAAACTCAATGAAATAAAAAGATTGCTTTTGTACTTTATACGATGAAAAATAAAAATATATGATTTTTGCCAAATGCTTAGAGGTTATACAATTCGTAATGAGCAAGAGAGGGCTACAGGGGGATATCGGGTGTGAAACGGGAAGCGGCAAAGCAGACACAAAGTGTATGCACGCAATTTTTAGAGAAACGACGTATTTTGTTTGTCTAAGCGTTAATATGTCTTTCAAAATGTGTAAAAATGACGTGTACTCTTTTTGCTACATTTGAGGGGAATTTATAAAAGTAAGAGCCAAATATATTTAGTTTACAAACAAAAGACTTTGTGACGACTATGAAGCTTATTTTAAACTTCCTATTACAAGTCAGGATAAAATATGGGCGCCACATTTCTCATATAATAACTGCAAAAGCGCTTTAGAAAGTAAGTTACAATGCGGTTTATTCTACGAAACTATACGTAATAGTGTTCTGTGAACTATACATGTTTAAAAAATTTCAATTGTCAAAGCAACATCTGTTAATTAATTATGATATACGAAGTATCTGTGCTACCTTTGTTTATGGGACAGTAGAGCCGAAGCTCTTCATTATCAGCATCACTCATGGCCTAAATGGACTGAGTTTCAGTTACGAGAACATAATATCAAGAATACGGTGAAACCTTACATCATTGCCCACATATTTCGGTTTCTATTTCTTTTTTCAAAAAATATTTAAAAACAGCAAAAAAAAAATAAAAAGAGAAAAAAAAAAAAAACCCCAGCATCTACTTTATTTTGATGGTTGCTGAAGTTTTAATTGACACTCCATGCAACAAATAAACTGTCAAAACAGGTGACATCATTCCTAACAGATGCTGACAAAAAAACAAAAACAGCAAAGTTATCCCTACTTTCTTACATCTTTGCTCAACCTAAATTTCTCAGCAACTAAAAGGTCTATGATTTTGATTTTAAGATATATTGTTAGCAAACCGGCAAAATTGTATACCATTACATTTTTAAATAAAAAGAAGTCCATTTTAAGTTTTAATGGCGGTGGGCAATGTTATCACCACATTTAATCACACTTTCATACTAAGAGATTTGAGGTGCTAGGGCTGTGCATCAGATGAAAGGAAAATAATAAACTGATTTTGAGGTAACAATGTATATTTTATTTTTAAAATTAAAAACAACAACTAACTGAACAACAACAAAAATCAAGATTTTAGTAACTTCTCTTATTAAATTAACCCTGATAGTTGAGGTAAGAAAGAGTAAACGGCGACGATACTTATTCCATTTTGTCGGCCATTTTTATCTGCGATCGTAAATGCCTGTCGTTGAGAAGAAAATTCTTTTTTAGACTTTTTTTTTGCAAACGAATTGCCGCATAAGTCTTATTTAAAAACTTTAGCTTGAAACTGAGAATATTTAAGCTCTATCTTTTGGGAAACTAGCGGTTTCTGACAAAAAATCTCCACAAATATATACCTATTTATTATATTTAAAATATATATAAAACAGTATCTAGTTACATATATAGTAATCAGAACAGTAGTTTGCAGTTAACAGTAGTTATTGTTATATAGTTTTTTATATACCTATTTACATTTAAACATTTATTTACGTTTAATGAAGCAATTTGTCGAGGCTCTACGTCAAGATTCTGCAGCTTTTCAATATTTAAAGACTTTTTCCTAAATTGTCAGATGCTAAAATTAAAGCTGGTATTTTTGTTGGTCTGCAAATAAAAAAAATAATGGCTTGTGAAAAATTCCCACGTTTACTGAACACATATGAGAAACAAGCGCGGCACTGGCTTAAGTCAGTAGTACATGGATTCCTCGGCAATAAAAGTACATTTGGGGATTTATTCGGGAAAGTTCATCTGCACACAAAAGAAATACTAAAAAAAATCCATTTTCAAAAGTTAACTACCTTTTTTATTTGTTTCAACTGTCTTTAATGAATAAAATTGATGTAAATAAATCAATCAATGATTGTTTATTTTTGTTTATAACTGAAAGAAAAAAACCTAGCGATTTTCTTCAAAATTTAAAATTACGTTTCGCTAGCTACAAAATCAAACCTTATGAGATAAAATTGTATTTCTTTTATTAATTAGGTATAATAAATTAAAATCGCGTACACAGAACTCAGGCACTAATTTTCCTAAAGAATAAAAGTGATGTAAATAAATAAATCAATGAATGTTTTCTTTTTGTATATAACTAAAAAAAAATCTAGCGATTTTCTTCAAAATTTGAAATTTCATTTTGGTAGCTACAAAAGCAAACTTTATGAGATAAAAATAGTGTTTCTTTTATTAATTAGGTATAAGAAATAAAAATCGGGTACACAGAACTCAGGCACCAAATTCGTGTTAACTTGTGTTATTGTTACAAGCTACAAAATTAAAAAAAAATCAAAAGAATTATTTTCGCGGCTCCCGCCAACCCGCCATTTTCATTTTCAATTTTTAATGCTGATCGTTGTTGATCGTTAACCTTTAACTTGCGATAGTGTTAAACAAAAAATCATAAATAAGTTTTAGTTTTACAAATAAAATGGAGATCGGTGATATTAAAAAAGTTGCGAATAGAAAACGAATGAATACAGAGGTTGAAAAACTAAGAGAAAAAGTTGCGCAGGAGACCACTAAAATTATTAAGTTAAAGGTAACGCCCAGTAACGCCTGATATTTTATGAAACAAATGAAGTAATTATTTCCACGTTTTTTATTTACACTTTAAAGTTTCCTTTTGTTCTAACTCAACCAGCTTTATTAATCACTATATTTTTGATGGGGATTTTTTTTAATTTACCTTATTTCTATAATACCATTGTCTCAGTCTGCGTTTTATTATTATGTTACGTTTTATGAAAACTGTATTTAACATTTTAGGGTTTATGACCACAAGAAATTGTTTATACAATAGTGATATTATGCTTATATTTTGTTAATGCCTTTATGTTATGTCAAACACTGTTGTTTTGTGTTATTATTATGAGAAATATAGTTATGATACAATATATGGAAATGTGATAGTGAAAATTATCGGTACATAGGGGGTTTTAGCGGTTGGCTCATGGAGTACCCTAGCAAGTTGTTCAATTTTTAATTCGTTCAGGACAGTTCGGTATAAGCTTAAGTTTTAAGTTACAAATCAAGAAAGAAAAGGAAAAAAGGAAAAGTATAGTAGAAGTAGTGAAGGTAGTAAAACTTCAGTATTACATTTCGAAGGGGCAGTTACGAATAATTAGGTAGTACTACATAATAAGTCTCATCTCTTAAACAGAGGCTGACAGCTTAGTAGGATTTCAAGAGTCAACCATAAGAGTTAACCAGACGCACATCACACATCGTTTCATATGATCACATTTTCATATTTTAGAAACAGAACAGTACATTCGGATACAGAATTAGGGCTACATACATACATCTAGACCATAAGAATCACAATCGGGTTGTTGTTGGACATACATACTGACCATTGATCACGTTTACCAGTTATGTGGGGTCAGAGCTTGATTTAAGGGAGGGAAACTTGAGTTAAAGTTCCGAGGTCACCAAAAAGAGGAGGTTCCCTATTATAAGTTCCTATGTTGCTAAGGTTCACTTATAACGATACGCAAAATAAGAAACAATGACTGAATTGTTGCTAACGCCAGGTTTTTATATTTAAAACTGTTTCGTTTTCTTTTAAAAGCCGGTTTGCAGTAAATGAATTGAATGGAAACACCTTTTTTTTTAAACAATATACCAGTTTTACTATATATGAACCGTTTAGTTTTTTTATTTTAAGTTATCCTAAGTTGCTGAATGAATAATTTGTATTATAAACTCTTTTAACATACACCTCTCTATGCAATAAAACTGGATCGACACGGAGAACGAAACGTTTCTTGAATATAGGAATCGGACACCAATATATTAAAAAGCAAATACAGCGGACGTGACGTGACAACTTCCTTTTTTATAAAATTGGTATAATAATAAAGGCATTGCAAAATATACGCATAAGCTATTATGATGTTGTCTATACAATCAAATTCTCCAGAGCATACCTAATGTGTTCCAGACCAAATTTTGGTCACGGCGGTCAGTCTCGGAGGCTAAGCCATCTGCGCGGGACAGGATTATAGTGCACAGGTATTGTGCGCAAGCACTGGTGCACTCTCTATTCCCTCAACCTCATATTCTAATTCTGAGTAAGTTATGGAGCATTATTATAGTCCACCACGCTGCTCTAGTGCGTGTTGGCGAACTTCACAATTCCTTGCCATATTTTATTTACAGACATGCTAGAGCCGGGCCTGTTAAAGAGTACTTTAACAGGCAAATAATTAATAATATATATTTATAATTAATAATATTTCAGTAATTGCAATTCACAGTTTTATTGGTGCCTGTAGGAAATAAATCTGGCGCCTGAGCCTCCACAGCTTATTCTGCCGGAAAACAATATTAATAACACACTTATGCATATCTTTGCTAAAAGTTGGTAGCTGGTGTGTACGGGCTGCAATGCTTATTTACCATTAGGTATTGTTTTGCGAACAAGTATCATTTTTTAATTTATTAGATACTTATCTATCCGGCATGTGTTGCAAATTGCGGTGCCTATTTTTGTCAGAAAACTTCGCGGGCACTTCATCGTAATCGATTGAATGCTATAAGAGCACTTAGAATGCGAACAAACAAACAGATATTAATTTTATATATTAGTAGCTGTTTCCAGCATGAATGCCGCTTTTTTGTCAAAGACCTTAGCTGGTGTGCGCACATGAAATACGAACAAACAAACAAACATAAATTTTTATATATTAGATGTTTATATTACATAATATCGGGGTTACATATGAAATTAGCGTTTTGTCTAAATGTCTCCACTTTGGTTAACAATTCCAAATTCAAATTTATAAATTCATTTAGCATTTGGTACATTTGAGTTTTGAAAACAGTCATTCATTTGTTTTTCCCTCGTTACTTTTTTCACTGGTGTTGCTTATTACCGCACAATGGAAAACATGACATGTCGGTATATTTACAAGTACGAGTTCTACCGTGGCACCAGTGCTGCAGAAACAGCTCGAAGGATTAATGATGTGTACGGTGCTGGTGTCGCAAAAGAAAGCAAGGTACGGTTTTGGCTTCATCGTTTTCGTTCTGGAAATTTCGACCTTCAGAACCAACCCCGTGGACGGCCGGAGACCAAAGTGGAAAATGAAGAATGCTATCAAAAACATAACCTGTAAAAAAACCAAGTCTCGCAACTCAGTTCTTCTACCGTAAAAAGTTGTGAGATTCATGTAATATAAAGTCGGTTAATTTATTCAGTCCCTACTTAAGATTCCTTCCATTTTAAGTTATTACATAATTAGCTAACCTAACAACATTTTATAGTGACCATATCAATGTTAAAAATGTTTTATGTTTTAAATATATAGATTGACTTGGGCATCACATGAAAACATAATGTATCTCGCAAGTAATACATATTATATTAAATTAGATTGTCATTGTTAGATTGTTGATCAGGCTTCTAGTTTTATTGACTACGAAGTTAATAGGGGGTCGAAAATGGCCTGAATTGCTTCGAGAAAAGTATGGTACGGCCGTGCCGCTTTTTTACTCGACTTGGCGGGGGCACTGCCGTGCCACCAGATTAAACGCTATTGTGGAAGCGGATCCATCACAAAGCACTTCAGAGATAGCTGCAGGCTTTGGGGTAAATGATAAAACTGTATTAATCTACTTGAAGCAAATCGGAAAAGTAAAAAAACTTGAACGATGGGTACCTCACGAATTGAGTGAATCGAACTTGCAAACACGCGTCGACTGAACCGACACAAAAATGAATGGATTTTTAATCGAATCATTACTTGTGTTGAAAAGTGGATACTGTACGATAATAGGAAGCGCTCAAATCGCAATGGCTGAACTCTGGAGAGCCAGCCAAATCCTAACTAAACGAAAATTGACTCAGAAAAAGTTACTTGTGAGTGTTTGGTGGACTAGCGCCGGTGTCGTTCATTACAGCTATCTAAAATCTGGCCAAACGATTACGGCAGATATCTATTGTCAGCAACTGTAAACGATGAAGGAAAAAGAACTAGCTGCTAAATAACCGAGATTGATAAATCGCTCTAGGCCACTGCTGATTCACGACAACGCAAGACCACACACTGCATAATAAGCAACCACTAAGTTAGATGAGCTACAATTGGAATGTCTACGATATCCACTGTACTCCCCGGACCTTGCTCCAACAGATCACCATTTTTTCCAGAATTTGGACAACTTCTTACAATGAAAAAAGTTCAACTCCGATGCGGCAGTCCAAACCGCCTTCAAAGAGTTTATTGATTCTCGCCCCCATGGTTTTTTAGTAAAGGGATCAATGAACTACCTATGAGATGGCAAATATGCATCGATAACAACGGTGCATACTTTGATTAATTAAATATACTTTACAAAAAAAAATTGACTTTATAATCCTCCCGTACCAAACGCCAAATTCATATGTAAGGACCTATTACTAGCCGATAAACGCTCCCTTCGCTGGGCGCACGATAATAACGTACATATATAAAATATCAAGAAATTTCTTTTTTATGGAACTATCATAAAATCCGTTCGTTCCGTCGTCCGTCGTTATTATGGCTAGCACAACAAAAACTAAGACCGGCCTACAAATATGTCTGGTTCCAAGACGGAAAGGTGCTACTACGTAAAGACGACAAATCCAAGCCTAAGTCGCTCGAAGCGAAGCTGACATTGAGAAGCTCTTAGCATTAACGGAAATAATCGGCCAAAGTTCCAAGCGGTAATAGATTTCAAAATTAGTAACCCAAGTCCTCTTTTCTGATCATCAAGAAATATTAAATTGTGTTGATATTAACAACTTTCGCTGGCATATACCCCCTATATATAAAATCTATCTTAATATTGTCCATATTAACATAAGATCTTTGATAAAAAATTTTTGCTATGTAACACAATTAATTAACTCTTCTAAAATGATTATTGATATTTTAATCATAAGCGAAGTAAACATAAATAACAATATAGTTTCTATGTTTAATATTAATAGAATGCACAGTATGTTGCGCAAAAATTGAATAGGCGGTGGTATAATTCTATATGTTAGAGATATTCACTCATTCGCGCCAATAAGTCACTCGTTAATACCTTATTATAATCGGTAAGATCACTACGCTTTATAAATACTCCGCTTACATCTGTGCTGTTTATAGACCACCAAGAGAGAGTAAGCACCTATTTGTAAGGGAAATAAGTAGCCTACTATCAAAATCTATGTTTCAACTATGTGACACTTATCTCTTAGGCGACGTTAACATAGACTTAAAAACATGCAACAACATCCGAGACTACTACATTAGTAGTATGTCCGAGAGCGGTCTAACAAGCGCGATATCCGATTACACAAAAATTGAAATACGCGGTAAGGAAACAACTCGCAGTTGCATAGATCACATTTTTACTCTTACGCGCTCGTTAGATCTGTACTCGGCCGCGCTTGGAACTGTACTGGCTTGGCTGACCATCGCATGATTATACTCTTGTGCGTAGGATTCGACCAAACACAAATACATAGTGATAAAAAAAATAATCCAACAGATTGATAATCATAAAATTAAAAATTTACTTAAT